TTAAATTTATTCTCCCTATCCACTTTTGGATTTCATCTCTCCTTGTTCTGTTTCCCCATTTATTCTTGCATTAAAACCAATGATTTGAAACTTAAATGTAATGAATACATTGAATTAAAATGTATTAATGAAAACCTGGGTTTTCATTAATAAATGCTTACCTGCGGTTGAGCGGCTAGCCTGAAACAGGTTTTTCACTGGGCAAGCAGCAGCTCTTCCTCCCCAAATGGTGAGCTTCTTCCTCAAGCCTCGTCTCTTAATTAGTCCTTAGTGCGCAGAGGAGGGAGAGAAGGAAATGTCACACCTGTAGAGAGGGAGGAGTTTCTGATGTCAGGTGAGATTTACCGTGAATACAGGACCAGTGTTTCCCGCCACCTCTTCCTTTCGGTCAGATTTAGTCTTACTGTGGAAAGAAAAGCTACTGAGCACTAATTTTGATTTAGATCTGAACATTTTCTAGACACAAAACCTATCTATCCATCAGGCTCTAATGGAAGAGAATCAAAAGAAAAGGGACACAGGCAAGTGGGGAACAATAAAATAATGTGGCTATTGACCCCTTACATTTCTTTTTTATCTATTCTAAAAAAAATAATAATAATTTCACTGGTCTGAGCTTCCAAGGCTGAAAGAGAGTAATGTCTAAAGAGGATGCTTGTAAAATTGAGCGTATGTTTGAAAATGTTCATTCTTTTACCCTATCCTTTTAAATGAAAAACCACTCACACTTTACTCGCTTCCTCAATGGCTGCAATCTCAGGCACTTATAGAAGCATTTACATGGGAATCGCAGCACACAACACAGTCCCTGAGTCTTGGATAATAAACAGTACAAATGTCCCCAAGGCATAAGGAGACCGGCTTCAGTTTGAACGTGATCACCTGGGAGGGTACTGTTTACAAATGAAGGGGTAGGTTAGGGCATTCTTTACTTGAAGATGCTGGTTTTAAGTAATACACTGGCTAATTGGTGGTTGAAAGTGACTGAAAAACTTGTATTCGATGACAATTACTGGACGTCAAAATAAGTGTTTATGATCCTGATACATTGATAACTTTTTAAAAAAGATGTTATGGAGGGCAACATATACCTGTGCATGTTCCTAAGGATCCTATATAAATCTAGTCTTTTCTAAATATTGTTTGAGGAAAATTGATTTTAATATGAACAGAAGTTGATATTAAAAAAAAATATATGTTAGATATAAAGTACAATACCGGAAAAACCTTAAAGTTAGGGGTCAAGTTAATTATGGACTCAGAGAGATCTATAAAAGTCTTCCCAGATTTAGGCTACATCCTGTTTCCTGGTGCATCCAAAACAGAAACTTCTATTCTTTTTTCAAAGTTCTTTGCTCTCTATAAAACACCGGAACTAATTAAAATAGTTGCTTTTTGCCATTAGGAAAAGTAACCAATAAGGCAAAGCATATTACTTTTCCAGGAAAACGACATTGGTTGAAGATAATTATATTTGAAATATGTCCATTACACTAACCTGAACGTTTAACTCTGGGATTTACAAGGAAAAAATGGGAGGAAAAGGAGGTTACTAATACAAGATAAGTTTAAAGAGATTTTCTTCTATAAAACCAAGTGAACAAATCCATAATACATATTATCATAGAAAAACAGATGGACTTGTACATTGTTTTTAACAGGATTTACACATCAACGTCGGTAGCCCCTTCTATTTGTAGTGTATCAGCAAATTCCTAAGTCAAAATTACAACTTTTTTTGCTTTCTAGTTCTATCACTTGCTATCTGAGGATCTTATGATAGATCTTAGTTTCCCATGCCTCAGGTTCGTCACCTGCAGCATGGGTATAATAGCAACTGTTCTGGGGTTTAATCCCCATCATGTTATTAGGATTAAACACTGGCATAAATGTGTGTGTACATGTAATGGGCTTAGAATAGTGTCTGGCACATAGCACACATCAGTAAATGTCAGCCATCTTTATGGTTGTTATTATTGTTATATGGTGCTGTTGTCTCATATGAAAACCTACACTAATTTTAAAGGGCTCATTGGGGGTATGAAATGGTGAGATTGCCTAACGCACATTTGTTTCTATTAGTTCAAAAATGAGTACTTTCATTCTATTTATTTATTTATTTATTTAAAAAAAAATATATGTTATTGATTTTTTACAGAGAGGAAGGGAGAGAGATAGTTAGAAACATCGATGAGAGAGAAACATCGATCAGCTGCCTCCTGCACATCTTCTACTGGGGATGTGCCCACAACCAAGGTACATGCCCTTGACCGGAATCGAACCTGGGACTCCTTAGTCCGCAGGCTGACGCTCTATCCACTGAGCCAAGCCGGCTAGGGCTGAGTACTTTTATTTTTAAAAAGCAATCTAGAGTCATTTTACTGAATTTGGGGAACAGCCCTCTTTCTTCTTCCTCTTTGTCCAATTTTAATAATTATAATCTATCTTAAATGTGGCTGCTACAGCAATTTCATAGCCTTGGTAACAGCAGAGGTCACTTTAATGAGAGCAAACATCTAAGCCAAGAGAAACTATTTCTACGTTGGTTTAGTAGTGAAGAGTACCTTCAGTGGCAGCAACTTCTAGTAAGAAAAGCTAGTTATGACACACAAAGGGCTCAGTCACTTTCGACATGGTAAAGTCCAAATGGGAAATTTGAATTTCTCTCTGCTTTTGCTTTCCTTCTTTCCTTTCTCTTCCGCAAAGCTGAATATTTCTTGACAATGAATGAAACATGAGAGGATTTAGAAGTCTTATGTTTGGAAACTAAGCCAACCTGCATTCAAATACTAATTTTGACAGGTGCACCTGCATTTATTTTTGGTAAACAGAGAATGCCAGGAAATTCAACCCAACCAAATAGAAGAAAGCAAATCCTTTAATTTGAGGTTCCAGCGCAGGTCAAATTTAAACAAAACCTGTTTGTTAAATATATGCCCCTCTGAGATTTGGGGGAAATGAAAGGGCTCATATGAAGAATGTTTAATGACTGGCAGTACCCTAAGGTTCTGCAACATATGTGTATAAGCTGCCTCCCCCAACCCTGTTCACACACACACATTACACCAGTTTATCTTCCTTCCTTCAGCAGCATTGTGGGGACCCACTTTCCCGTATGCTCAGCAACTTTCTCTTTTAGCCTTTCTCAGTCTGATAGGTGGAAATGTTTTATTTTGCATTAAAGTGAACATCTTCCAAATACACATTGGCCATTTATGTATCTTTGAGAATTGACCACTTTTCTACTGGTATTTAATCTATTTGTTACTGACATTCTAAGTTTATTTTAACTTTATTTGGAATCTATCTATCCTATATAATAAAAGGCTAATATGCAAATTGCCCAAACAGCGGAATGACTGGTCACTATGACACACACTGACCACCAGGGGAGCGCCGCTGTGGGGGAGCCACTCAGCCAGAAGCTGGGCTCATGGCTGGCAAGCACAGCAGCAGTGGCAGGAGCCTCTCCTGTCTCTGCAGCAGCACTAAGGTCCTCTCAGGGGATATCTGTCTGCCTAAGCCTGAGAGGTCCTGGACTGCGAGAGGGCTCAGGCTGGGGTGAGGGACTTCCCCTCTCCAGTGCATGAATATCGTGCACCAGGCCTCAAGTATATACATAAAAGCTTAAGTGGCAGTTACAACTGGACAACCAGCCAGTAATTATGATGCGCACTGACCACCAGAGGGCAGACGCTCAACGCAGGAGTTGCCCCCTGGTGGTCAGTGCTCTCCCACAGCCAACCTCCTACGGTCCCTTCCTCTCTCCCCACTGGCCAGCCCCGATCACCAGCCAGGCCAAGACCCCACTGTGCACAAATTCGTGCACCGGGCATCTAGTTTTGGCATAAAGTAGAAATTTTAACCACTGTTTCTCCATCCCCATCTCTGGTGTGGTTAGTGGTTTTCTCAAGACTATTGAATATCTTTCTGCATTTTACTTGAAGTGCTATCTTTATCATATGTTATGTCTTTACACTATAAATCCTCCACTTATGTTTTAGAATTTAAAGTTTCTGGCACTGGCACTTACCATCTCCTTGCTAGATAGGTGGGTCATAGTTGGCATGGACTGTGCATTTGAGAACTCAGGTGAGTGTGGAAATTACATAGGAACTACAGCCATTTGAATTATTGGTACCAAGTACAGTTGAATTTTATTTGGGTTTGTAATTAAGTTATTCATAGAGAGTACACTAACATGCATCCTTAAAGAAAATATTGTGTATGCTTTGAATTGCTTGATACCTGCCAGAACTATAGATCTCTTAAAATTAGGTCACATACTTTTCAAAGCTCCAAGCATGTATGACCAGTTTATGCATGAAGAACTGTCACTCAGTAAGTACAAGCTCCAGTTGATGTTCAATAATCTGTTAAACAGATGTTCTGAGAGAAACAAGACTTTTTAAGAAAATATGTATTTATAGATTTCAGAGAGGGGGAGGGAGAGGGAGAGGGAGAGAAACATTAAGGATGAGAGAGAACCATTCATCAGCTGCCTTCTGTACATCCTACACTGGGGATCAAGCCTGCAACCTGGGCATGTGCTCTGACTGGGAATCGAACTGTGCCCTCCTGGTTCATAGGTCGATGCTCAATCACTGAACCACACCAGCCGGGAGAGAAACAAGACTTTTAATGTACCTCCTTTCCCAAAAGCTATTATAAACATCGTAATTAATGATAAAAATCAGTGAGTTGGGGCTCTATTAGTCACTCTAAAACCCTGAAGCTGTTAAGTCTCCAAGTGAAGTTTTTAAGATACTTTGCAAAATCTTTTAGTTGCTTTGCCTGATGTAGCAGACAGTCCAAAATACACAAAAACACTTTCTTTAAATGCTGCAGTACAGGTTTCTGTTACTGAAGACTTTCTTTCCCTCTGAAATCCATTAATGGCCTTTTGGACCATTGCTTCCTAAGAGGATATTGCTTTTGACCCTTTTACTGAGCTGCCCAGGGTTTCCTGTGGCGTGTGGCCTCCCTCACGGCAGTGAGCATTACACCGAGTTTGTTCCTGGTGGTCTCTGCATGGAGGATATTAACAGAATTGTAGCACTTTCTACATTAACTGGCAAAGTATTCTAGGTGAGACAGAAAAATAATTAAATTTCAGATATTTTACTTTCAAATAGATTAAAGCAACCCAGGTAATAAAAATAAATTTTAATGTTTTACTGATCATTTATTTACATGTATATACATATTATAATCACAATGAGGAAAGAAAATTCACTTTTGTTTGGTTTTTGTTTTAAGGGAGTAAATCTGTTTATGTTCCATTTAGTAATTTTTATGAAATGAAAGTATGATTTGATGGTAAGGGAAAATAAGTATGCAACATCTATACACTAAACCAACCCAAGAAATGTTCGTGCTACCTCCAAGGTTAAAGACACATGGAGAATCTTAATTATACCACACAGTCTAGAGAGTTATGTAAAAAAGTAAAGGCATTTGGAGATTTCTCAAGTTCCAGATGACCAGGAAGAAAATGTAAGTCATCAGCTAAAGAATAATAATGAAAGCAAACATGTTTTTATGAACTAGGTACTTTAAACACTTTACATATATTAAGTCACAGTATCAAATTTCCTCTGCACTAATCAATAAATGAGCTTTATCTAGCCTATAAATCAATGGACTGTGACTGTTCTTATTTTACAGTGTCAGGTAAATAACTGGAAGAAAAATGTGACCTAATTTGTGCCAAAATTTCTTCCTGTGGGTACAATGTGTAATTAGTGTAAAAATGTTTATTGAAATATAATTGACATATAACATATTAGTTTTAGGTGTATAACATAATGTTTCAATATTTGTATATATTGTGCAATGAATCTAGTTAACATCCATCACCACACAGTTACAATTTTTTCTGTGATGAGAACTTCTAAGATTTACTCTTAGGAACTTTCAAAAACACAATACAATATTATTGACTAATTACTATACTGTATATTACATCCTCGTGACTTATTTATTTTACAACTGGAAGTTTGTACCTTTTGACCACCTTCACGCATATAATTGTTTTTTAATCTTATTATGAAAAATATAAATGTACATTATTTAGAGAATGTATAATAAATCTCATGTTCCCATCACTCAACTTCAAAAACCATCAACTCATTCTGTTCTTTTCTCAAATCTATATTATTCTGTTTTTCCTCTGCCCATTTTGCTCCTTACACCTAAGTGAATTGTAAATAGGAAAAGTTCAAAATACTTTTTGAGAAAATATACTCTCTACTACTATAAACATTTACACTATAATATCTACTAGGGTCCTTTGAAGAAAGACAAGTTAGCAGTGTATAGCCTACTACACATAAGACATAATATGAAGAGTTATAGATCATTGTTAGAAGCATAAGCAAAAGCAATTTACTTCCCCAAATCTATTCTACAGTTATATGACTACACAAATGCGTAAAAATATATGTACAAGGGTGTACTCAGCATTATCTGTAATGATAAATGCTGGAAGCTAATTCCAGCAGGTCATAAATGCAAAAAGTTCATCAAAAGGTTGATGGGGCTTTTTCAGCAGGGCTGAATATCTACATATTACCGGCTGCTGGAATAGCTAAAAGCATTTCCTCAAACCTGAAAAGTCTGCCTGCTGCCAGACAGCTGAGGGCATTTCCCCAAACCTGAAAATCTACATGTTATTGCCTGCTACTGGGACAGTCGAGGGCAGTTCCCCCGAACCTGACAATGCCTACTGTATAACAAACCTTACCTTTTGATATGTATAGCTGCTTTGCTTTAGGGCAATTTGTGATAATAAAGAGCAAGGGGTCCAGAGATGCAGAGACCTTGGTTACTGAAGCTAGGTCTCCTCTGGCTTCCCAAAATGCCTTCCAAATTTATATTTCTAGTCTCTTTATTAATTCACATGCATCCCCTTCTCCAGATTCCTGAATGCTTCTAGATGCTGGATAACACCCTGGCAGATAAAACTTACTTATTGTCATCAGTACCTCACAACTTATATTATGGTACATCCAAAAATGGAATATTATACATTTATTAAAAAGGACGAAAGACATCTACATAGACTGACAAAGAAAGATGTTCAAACTATAGTGTCAAATAAGAAATAATTGTGTGTATATGTATACCATGAATTCCATTTGTTGTTGTTTTTTAAAGAAACAGGATATATAATGCTTTTAAATATCAAATTAATAACTGGTGATACAGTTAATATAGTAAATTGTTACCTGAAGTGTGGGTGCTTTGAGACTCTTCTGAGAAAGTTCTGGAAGGGAGAGTACACCACTGCTATCTATTTGAAACATCTAAAGTAGAAAAAGAAAGTTATAGGTTCTTTAAAAAGACTAATATCTCTGAACTTATTACACAGAAAAGCTGTCTTGGTAAAATGTAAGCATTAAAAATTACACCGAGTCTAGCAATATATTATTAAACAATTACCTGTTTAAGTTTCTCCTCTTCTTCTTCCACCTCACTTGTCAGAATTTGAATTTTGTTCTTTAGGCTCTGGATATCCCCAGTCACTGCCTCTGTGGTCTCTACTATTTTATCTATTTCTTCCTGAGTCAGAAAGAGAAAGTTAATGTTTCAAATTAAATATTTTATTAAATAAACCTCCAAAGATATATACATATCTTTTAAAACCCTTATATATTGCAACACTGCTAAAAGAAACTGGTAAATATATTTATGTTTTTCTTTCAAAAACCAGACTTGCTAGGAACTAATTGCCCACTGTAATATTGCATTATAAAGAAGTTAATTTCCTGAAACAAAAAGATATACCTCACGTACAAGAATATTTCCTCAAAAACTTACTGAAGCTGCTAGCATTGGATTCTGGAAGCCCTGTGGAAATCCAGCAGAGCCCAAGGGCTGATGGCCTGTTCATCTATACCCTCACCACACACCCTGGCAATCACTGATCCTTCTATTGTCCCCACAGTTTTGTCTAGTCCAGATGTCATATAGTTGCAATCATGTAGTACGCCTTCTCAGATTGGCTTATTTCACTTGATCATATACATTTAAGTTTCCTCCTTGCCTTTGTGGGCTTGATAGCTACTTTCTTTTTAATACTGATTTTAATATCCCATTGTCTACATGTGCCACCGTTTATTTATCCATTCACCTACTGAAGGACATCTTGTTTTTTTCCAAGTTTTGGGAACCATGAATGCCACTACAGAGATCCGTGGGCAGGCTCCCTCTGAAGGCTCTAGGGAAGATTCCTTTCTTGCCTCTTCCAGCTTCTGAGGCTGCCAGCATTCCTTGTAGCTGCATCACTCCAATTTCTGCATGTTTGTACAAGGCCCTTTCCTTATGTCTGTCCCTTATAAGGACATTTCCATCTCCTGAAGGATACTTGTCACTGGATCTAGGGCCCACCCAAGATAATCCAGGATGATTTCACTTTGAGATCCTAACTTAATTACACCTGGGAAGATTCGCTTTCTAAATAAGGTCATATTCCAGGAGTTAAGATTTAAACGTACTTTTCGGGGCCCACCATTCAACTCCATAGAAGGAAATGAATAACAGCACTGATGGAAGAGTTAATAATAATGACTAGCCCTAACTGGTTTGGCTCAGTGGACAGAACGTTGGCCTGTGGACTGAAGGGTCCCAGGTTCGATTCCGGTCACGGGCATGTACCTTGGTTGCAGGCACATCCCCGGTGGGGGGTGTGCAGGAGGCAGCTGGGCGATGTTTCTCTCTCATCGATGTTTCTAACTCCCTATCCCTCTCCCTTCCTCTCTGTAAAAAATCAATAAAAATTAAAAAAAATGACTAAATTTTTTCATTATAAATTTTTTAAAATTAATTTTGTTCCATTGCTTTGGTTATTTTCTTTGGGTATTCCTACCATACCCATTTTGCAACTTTTGTATTTTCCACTTTTTCCCCTGATACCTTTAAAAAATAATCATTCTTTTTGATTCTTAACATTTTCTCCTTATTTCACCTTCTATGTATTGTAAGTATTATCAGTTGTATTTGTTTGCTTTAGTACTCTAATTTAGTCGGCAAATCCAAAAGGCTTTTTCTTTTATTGCCACAGTCTTTCCGTAGCTAGGGTTCAGGAATCTGGAGAAGGGCTGTGCATAAATGAATAGAGACTACACAAGAAATATAAATTTGGAAGGCATGGGGGAAGCCAGGCGGAAATTTAGCTCTAGTGACAGCTCCCTGAATCTCCGGACCCATGGCTTTTTATTAATACATTTTGCCCTTTAGCAAAGCAGACAGACATGTCAAAGGTAAGTTTGGTAAACAGTAAAGGATTATTAGGTTAGGGGAATTGCCCTCAGCTGTTTGGCAGCAGGTAATAATATGCAGATCTTCAGCCCTGCTAAAGATGTCCATCAGCCTTTGAGAACTTCTCGGATTTATTATGCTAACTACTGTTCTTAGCCTCCAGCATTTTATTTCTAATTCTTTCCTGAATTCTGTAACTTCACTTTTTGGTATAGCAGTTCCTCTAATGTTCAACCTCATTTTGTTATAACGAGGGGGAAAAAATTCCCTGCTAGGGCCACCACTGTGTGGAGAATGCACATCCTTCCCATGCTTACGTGGTTTTTTTCCAGGTTTTGGAAAGTCACCACCAGCAGTAACTCTAGGCTGCAGCAGGAGAAAGCTTTCTAAGTAATGCACAAGAGAAAATGAATGAATACAAATTCTACAAACTCCTAGTTCAAAGACTCTCTTATGCCAGTGAAGAACTCTTATGCCCAAGATGTGAAAATGACTTCAGGTAAGTAACTGACTTATCAAGCAAACCACAGACTGCTGTGATAGATGAAGTATACATTTAGTCAGTCTTCGTCCTCGGTTCCTGGCAGAGAGTTTCTAAAACCTTTGTAACTCCTAAGTGATGGGGGGTGGGGAAGGATGGGATAAGAGCATAGTTAGTTATATTTGATTTCTGTCTTGGTTCCTGGCACAGCTACCAAAAACCTTTGTAATTTTCTGAGTGATTGGAGTGAGAGGAGCGTCTTTTGTTATTCTTAAGTCCTTTCAACCTTACCAGAGTTTATGATAATGCACACACAGAGGATGAAGGCTGGTTGCCAGAACAAGCAATCATGTGATCATGGTTGGAACTTCCAGTCCTACTCCCTGATCTGTGAAGGGGAGCTGGGCTGGAGACTTAATTAACAATCAATATGCTTACGTGATGGAGCTTTTATAAAAACTCCCAACAATGGGGTTCAGAGAGCTTCCAGGTTGGTTATCACATGAAGTAACTGGGAGGCTGATGTGCCTGAAGAGGCATGGAAGCTCGCATCCCTTCCCAAATACTGTGCCCTTAGGCATCTCTTCCTTTTGGCTGTTCCTAAGTTGAGTCCTTTATAATAAACTAGTGGCCTGGTGCACGAATTCATGCCTATTGAAAGGAAATTAATTAGAAGAAGTATTTTAATATTGCTATTCGCCCTTTCTCTATAATAGAAGTGTTAACCAAATTCACGATCGACAACGACAGAGGGAAACACACGAGTGCGATTGGTGCAAGAGCTTTATATGTATCGTGCATGTGCAAGTCAACTTAGCCTTTTATAGAATAAACTTGCTTAATTAGATCTGCTTTCTGATTTAGCTAAACTTTTTCCAGCCCAATGAAGCACTCCAACTTCTCTTTCAGGTAGCTGTCAGCAACACAACAGTAAATACCAACACAAAGCAGATTATTATTGTAGATTACGCAGGGAGACCAAAGGATGAAATATTTAACTGCCAGAAAACAAAGATTTAGAAAGCTTAAAAACTTAACCCGACTGAAAAGAAGAAAGAAATGGTGGACCTTGAAAATGACTTCAGGTTTTCTCACTGTGCAGAATATCAAACACTGCTGCCGGCTCCAATTGCCCTTGAGGGCTTCTCCACCTCCCTCTGCTCCTGAGGGGTGATCGGTGCCACACCCGCTGCTCACATTTGCTGCTGGCGCCAGCCCCAATTGCTCTGCACTGTCAGTGGGTGCCAACAGGGCCGGCGCCATCAGCATGTGGGAGCGGCGGTGGGAGCGGGGCTTCCAACAGACAGGGGATCAGGGGCTGCGGCAAGAGGGGCCGGGCGGTGGTGTGGAGGATGGGCCGAGGAGACCCATCCCTGTGCCCACCGCAGCCTCACAGCCCACAGTTCCTTTCAAGGTGCACTAATTCGTGCACTGGGCCCCTAGTCCTATATAATAAAAGCGTAATCTGCTAAGTGTCCAACTGTTTGGTCAACCACTCAACCAGTTGCTATGATATGCATTGACCACCAGGGGGCAGATGCTCCAACCAGTAGGTTAGCTTGCTGCTGGGGTCCCGCTGATCAAGACTGGGCGAGAGGGCCAGACATGCCCTGAAGACCTTCCACAGTCCCTCCCTGGCTGACCAACCTCCCGCAGTCCCTCCCCACTGGCCAGCTCCCATAAGCCCCAATCAGGACTGGATGAGACGGCCCTGATGGGTTCCGAGCCCTGGCCAGGCCAAGGGACCCTACTCGTGCACGAATTCGTGCAATGGGCCTCTAGTATTGTATAATTTAAATTTGCTAAAAGAGTAGAATTTAAATGATATTATCTACACCTCTCCCTAAAGGATATATGAGAAATGGATGTGATAATTAATTAGATGGGAATCCTTTCACACACAATGCATACCTATATAAAATCACCATGATGCGCACTTTAAATCTTAGAATTTGTCAATTATACCTCAATGAATCTGAAAATAAAAAAAAACCCCATAATAATGTCATCCAACTGTTAGAACTAGAGCCAGTACTGAAAATAAACCATGAAAAATAGTAACGTTGGGAGGAAATTAAACATAATCTCATCCTATGAAGAAAGCCAGGTAATCACTAAAAATACCACCCTATTAATTTATAATATAAGTAGATTTGTTGCTCAGAAACTAATCCTTCCAACATTATCTAAATTATATAAAATAGAATAAATTATTTGTGAATTTTGAAATGTTAGAAATCCTTGGCATTCGTTGCATGAACTACTACCACCTTGAACTTACTGAATTACTAACAAAGACCTAAGCACCACATCTACAAACAATGTCAAAATGACTAAGGGATATATGGTCCAATCTGCTCTACTTTTTAGAATTATCCAATAAGTCACTTAAGGTTGCTTCTTTATATCTATATCTATATCTATATCTATATCTCTATCTATATTTGATTTGCCTGTACTCTTTAAAAACTTTTTAAATTACAGTTGACATGCAATATTATTTATATTAGTTTCATGTGTACAGCATAGTGATTAAACAGTTATATAATTTATGAAGTGATCTCCCAATAAGGTGCTTTTCTTAATTGTTCAAGTATCCACTAAGTACAAGGCTGAAGTTAATGATAACAGCTAATGTTATTTCTCAGTAGCTTCTATAGCATAATGATTAAGAATCATGCTCTGACATTGGACTGGCTAGATCTGCACTACAATTTTAAGCCAGAAATATCAGTATGTCTTTTTCACATTTGTAGCATGAGGAAAATAGAGCATAGACCTCTCTAAGTCCTTGTGAGGATTAAGGAATATAACTGTAAGTGCTTAGAAAAGTGCCTAGAACAAAGAAAGCCCTCATTACATGTTAGCTATAATAACAATGATGATAACTGTGTTTCTGACAAGGAAGTATAGGATGGAAAAACTAATGTTTTCAAATTCTACAGCATTTAGTGATGAGTTCCTATAATTTGATAATAAAAAATACTAAAACAGCCTGGCCAGTGTGGTTTAGTGATTGAGTATTGATCTATGAACCAGGTGGTCACAATTTGATTCCCCATCAGTGCACATGCATGGGTTGTGGACTTGATCCCCAGTGAGGGTTGTGCAGGAGGCAGAGATCAATGATTTTCTCTCATCATTGATGTTTCTATCTCTCTCTCTCTCGCTCTCCTTTTCTCTCTGAAATAAAAATAGTTTTAAAAATCACTCAGATAGTTCAGTTATAAAGTCTGGTAAAAAAAAAAAACACAAGACAGTTACTTAATCACTAATATAGTAGAAATACTTAACTTTAGAGGCCCCAAGTGTAGGTGATGTTTTTGGTTAGAGTGAAAAAAAAAGAAAAAAAAGAATTTAATGAACAAACCTGGCCCAAGATCTAGTATTTATTGCCAGGAGAATATCATAATAATTTAAAAAGCCTTTTGGTCTCTTCCTCGTCCCCCTAGGTAAGGACGCCCTGTTCATTCCCATACCTGCAATGACGCCAGGCCTTCTTCATTGGCTCTGTGCCGGGCCCTTTCCATTTTCAGTAGACTTGGCATGTTAGTTAAATCTTTCAGTTTTGGGGGAGGGACTTTTAGGGTTTCAAACATTTGTAGCAATCTTTTCTTCAGGCAGTTGAGATGATATTGAATTTGTTCATTTTCTCTACTTTTGTTACTCAAAATTGCTATGATGACTGTTTCCATCAGAGTTTGCAAATGCTTTCTGCTGCTCTCCGAAAGAGGTTGCCAGGTTTTCCTTCTGCTGGATGCTATCTTTACCTGTTTTAGACTAGTTTGCTCTGTCTGTCCTTTAGAAGACAGGTGCTTTGGATGATTTTTATTTTTTTTCACTGTGTTTTTAACCTCCTTCTCTGATAACTCCACTTCCTTATCATCAATTTTTCTTTTTGGATTTCTTTTTAACTGTTGAGACCTTTTCTTGGAAGCATTTGCTTTGCTAGACATCTTGATCTAAATAGAACAATTCTAACAGTGCTCCAAAAAAATCAGCTTGCTGACACTCGCGGGAACCAAGGCTCTCAGTCCCGACCTCGGCGAGGGCAGAAGATGTGGGCACCGTGAGTGGCAAAACACAAGCCCAATGTTGACCTCTGGACAGTGACGCCGGCGGCCGCCGACCGCAGGGGCTTCAAGGCCAGACACTAAGCTCCGAGGCGGCGCCGGGTTGTGCCGGGCCCTTTCCATTTTCAGTAGACTTGGCATGTTAGTTAAATCTTTCAGTTTTGGGGGAGGGACTTTTAGGGTTTCAAACATTTGTAGCAATCTTAGGGATAGAATAAAAACACAATTATTAGTTTATTTTTTCAGTACCATTAATATTACTTTTGTTTTGTTTTGAAATACTGTTACCGTTTTTATTTGCCGTCTTGCTCCCAAGGGCTTCATCTTTATTAAAAGTTACTCACCTTAGAAATAAGTCTCCCAAAAGAGCCCTGACAAATCATCATTTAACATTTTATTTTATTAAGATTTACTTCAAATCATGGGGCCACTTAGGGTTCTTCATAAAAGGAAAATTTTCTCTTTTATACATTTAACAATTACTTATATGCATTTTAAAATAAAAATTTCCTGATTTTTAAATATGTTTTCTAGACTATTCTAGCACATAAGTGTATTATTTATTGTGAATTATTGAGTAAGAGATGGAGCACTGCTCTGTAAATCTTAATGAGCCTGGATTCTAAATCTCAGTTGTTTTAGAGAATGTGATTAATAAAATGACTTTAAAGAAATCTGAGTCCCATAGACTTTAAGACAAATAAAACACTGAGATTAAAGTGCTTTGTTTTAAAGTACTAGCAACATGAATAGTATTAAATATTAAAGTTAAAAAGTCCTCCAAACTGGATGATTAGAGCACCAATAAAAACTGACATTACTACCCTCACTTCTAGCAGAGAGCAATACAGCTTTCTAATATTTGATTCTTGTTTCCATAGTAGGAAAATCTGAATTTGGTTGCTTTTACCTAATAGGAGCACTTGGTGTGCTAAAAAGTTCTACTAAATCTGAACAACAGTGGAACCAAAGATTTATCTTCGTGGGGTCTTATTCAAAATATTAATTTTTATAAAGAAAAAAGTAGGCAGTAAACCCCCCACCAATCATAATTTTCATCAAACTTTTAGGATAAACTTCAGTTTTCCAGAAAACCATCATTAGGGCATCATGTTTAAGCATAAATCTTGTCTGTATAATCTTCCCAAGAGGGTAAGTTTTTGACTTCTTAACTAAAATAAAGTTTCTGTTTATAATCAGTTTCTTCTAAAACTTCATTAAGTCAATTCTGTGGAAGGGACATCCACTAGTCCAATGTCCTAAATAGTGATCAGATTTCCAGAATTCTTTTAAAACTAATTAAACTAAAAATATAACATGAATACATCCTACTTATTATTACTTAATACTTAATCACCATTTACAACATTGTTTCTATATGACAACTTTTCCAAAGCATGTTCCTCTAGAAACTATAGGGTATAACCACTTTATCTGACTAGCAACCCTGTTTGTCTGATCATGTGGGTATGATACAGTCTATATCAATCATAACAGTCTTGCCACAAAATCAGTCCAAAGACAGGAATATCATCGAAGCTGGGCCAATCACAGTCTATCTCAGGGGTCCTCAAACTACGGCCCGCGGGCCACATGCAAATACAAATATTGTATTTGTTCCCGTTTTGTTTTTTTTACTTCAAAATAAGATATGTGCAGTGTGCATAGGAATTTGTTCATAGTTTTTGTTTTAAACTACAGTCCGGCCCTCCAACGGTCTGAGGGACAGTGTACTGGCCCCTTGTTTAAAAAGTTTGAGGACCCCTGGTCTATCTCCTAGAATTTTGTGACTGGAGCTAAGAGGATAGTGTTTTCTTTCTCCTCTTTCTTCACAAGGCTAATAAGATACATAGGAAGCTGTCTATGTCTACAATTCTAACCTAGTGAGGATAATCTGTCTAAGAGAATACAGCCAAAATGCAGACAGAGCAGAGATGAGACTAATACATGAAAAAAAGAGTCCCTGTGATAAATACTAATTTGGGAGATGATAGGTTAAGCAAAATAAAATACATTTACTAACTGCAGGACTTTTAATATGCTAATGGACCAAAACATTATTCACGATATATCACTTTTATTCACAGAGTATCTTTAAGAATAAGTGTTCCAAATATACTTTGAGAAATGCTGTTATAGGAAAATGTATTCAGAGATCCAATTAAAATAAATTTGGTAAGACTGTAAACACTGCTAAATTAGTAAAAGGGAAAGTATCTTGAGTATTATTATTTTGGGGATTAAAAAAAGTGAGCTGCAAGAGCAAACAGAAAAAACAGGCAGTCTTTAAAATATACATCTCCATGGCTGCTACATGATGAAGAGACAGCCTATATATTGAACAATTTAATCTTTTCTGATTACCTAGCGTGACCGCGGTGAAGAACGGCTATTATGTATTGTCCTATTCTCATTTGTAAACCAACCACAATTATTTGTCCTCAGTCTTCCGAAGAATAAAGTACTATGTTACAAACATTTCTGGGTACACCAGTAACTAAGATGCAAAACATTCTTCTATGAAAAGACAACATTGTGCAAATACTAGAAAAAAGTAATCACTGAAAATCACTCACAGTGGTGTGACTTTTTAAGAACACATGAAAAGAAACCTCCATTTGTGACTTGCTTCAATAGGAAGAGCAGTAATATTCTGGAAAATTACATGAAAACAGTGATAGAATAAGTAAGAGTGGTGAACTGTGAACTTCAAATTGTTCAAAATGCAGTTGAAGGGAGTTAAAGTTGACAAAATACTGTTCAAATCCTAACACAGAAAAGTGAATTATAGGAGGAGGCATTTTGTCACTTTCAGACTCTTCCTAATAAATTCTCTTAAAGAATGCAGACTTGCATATAGCAGCAATTTAGGATGGAATGTATGTTCCCAAATTGTTCCTCTTTTTTAAAACAACACAAAAATCCCAAATGAAAAACTTTTCTATTCCACAAATGTCTGTTCTGCAACATAGACAGAGATTAAACTTCCTAAATATGTTCTAATCATTTCCTATTGCATAACTACTAGTATATTACCTTTTCTTCAGGCAGTTGAGATGATATTGAATTTGTTCATTTTCTCTACTTTTGTTACTCAAAATTGCTCTAGAAAAGAAAAAGAAAAAGGATTGAGTAAATATTAGTTTGCCTCTTTCCTAGCCAAGCAGAATCAATCACTTTTTCTTTTGTATACATTTTAAGTGGAGGGATAATCAAAGTTCTTTCTATCACATTACATTGTTGTGTTTAATTTATATGCCTGACTCTTCTGATGGATTTCAGCTCCTTGAGAGCAGAACCCTTATTTTCTTTGTATTGCCTCCAGCGTGGTAACTTCCAGATGGTGTCAATTTGAACTCAACTTCTTCCTAAAATGTCCACATTGCACGGATCAGGCCACATAGACTTCATTTTTATTTCCCTGATGGAATTCTAAGTTTCTGAAAATAATCAAAACTTTCCTGCTTAGGCTAATGCTATTAAAAATATCTTCTGAAAGAGAAAAACATCCTATCACCATAAAATAGAAAAAAACATTTAAAAGAATACTGTATATGGAAAACGTAAGTAGACATAAAGTTAAGTGAAAAAATTTCATGCTCACATGATGACTGTTTCCATCAGAGTTTGCAAATGCTTTCTGCTGCTCTCCGAAAGAGGTTGCCAGGTTTTCCTTCTGCTGGATGCTATCTTTACCTGTTTTAGACTAGTTTGCTCTGTCTGTCCTTTAGAAGACAGGTGCTTTGGATGATTTTTATTTTTTTTCACTGTGTTTTTAACTTCCTTCTCTGATAACTCCACTTCCTTATCATCAATTTTTCTTTTTGGATTTCTTTTTAACTGTTGAGACCTTTTCTTGGAAGCATTTGCTTTGCTAGACATCTTGATCTAAATAGAACAATTCTAACAGTGCTCCAAAAAAATCAGCTTGCTGACACTCGCGGGAACCAAGGCTCTCAGTCCCGACCTCGGCGAGGGCAGAAGATGTGGGCACCGTGAGTGGCAAAACACAAGCCCAATGTTGACCTCTGGACAGTGACGCCGGCGGCCGCCGACCGCAGGGGCTTCAAGGCCAGACACTAAGCTCCGAGGCGGCGCCGGGTCCCGCCACGGGCTGCAGGGAGATGACGGCAGGGGGACGAGGGGGAGGATGGGGGGGAAAATTCTTAACTGTGAAAACA